CGGGGGCCCTTTTCCCTGCCACAGGCCGGGCAGCCCCGCGGCTGCCGTCGCCCCCGCTGGAAAGCCCTGCTTCCCTCCAATAATTCTGCTGTTTAATTTGCGTCTGTTTGCCTCGGGTTTCTTACAAAAAAATGGCCTGCTCCTAGACAAATCTTTTTTCCTTTATTTCTTCTTTTCTCCTCTCTTCCCTCCCCGTTTTCTTCTGTCTCTCCATCTCTTATCTCCTTCCTCCCTTCCTCTCGTAATATTTGAGCCCTTTCCAAGAGCAAAGCTGAGGGAAAACATGTTTTGTGTCTAATAAAAACAGCTCTGCTGACCTCTTTCCTGTGGTGAGCGTCAGCATTTCCACGTTGTGCAACAGGCCCTTGGCACGGAGGGTTCCTGGCGCTGGTTTCTCCTCCCTCTGACCAGACCCCACGGCAGGGAAAGGTTTGAACACGCTGGGGGGCTCTGAGGAGCTTAGTGGCCAAATTCCTGTAGATTTCATAATCTTTCACCCTAGTTGAACAAGAGAAAATCCAGCAGGATCTAAGGAGAAGGAAACATGCTGTAGGAGGGAGGCTGGCAGGACGTTTGAGCGCAGCAGTGCCCTGGCTGGCGCAGGAAGCGCTGCCGGGCGCGTGGCTCGCCGCTCGCGTTGCGAAGGGGGACGGGGCGCTAAGGGCCGGCTCCGAGCTTGCCTTCCCCCTGCGCACGTTGCTGCCCTGCAGGAGCCCGTACGGCCATTCCGAACGTAGCGGAGCTCGTTCTGGGCTAAGGCAAAGCTAAGGAAAGATGTGCTAAGACAAGATACGGTTTTAATATAGAGACTGTTACTGAGGAAGGAAAAAAGAATAAATTATTTTTCATGTTTGCAATAAATGATAGGGGAGAAAAAAGGGCTAAAATGGCCATGAACATTTACAATAGCTAGTAGGAAGGAACTAGGAGCATTGCACTAGATTCTCATGCAAGATCATGGGTTTTTAAGAAATGGGTTAGGCAAACTTCCTTCAGGAGATAATTCTGCTTTAGGGCAGGGGTGGACTTAGGGGTTCTCTCAGTGTCCCTGCAGTCTCTTATTGCTCTGGTTCTGTTATCCATCATCGCACATTACCCAGATCTGGGATTATACCCCATCTTTGCAGAATGAGGCCCATTTTCTGCCCTTTCTTAGCTCTTATGTGTGAGCAGGATTCACGTGTACTGTGCCTGCTAAATGCCTGGCTCGAAATCTTTCCCGTAATTGCTTCTTTAAGCAAGTGGAGCTTGGCATTAGCAGCAGGAACTGGAACACTTTGCTGCGTTTTCACTGATGCCTAAGTGCAAGACAGTAGCCTAAGTGCAAGACAGAAAAAGGAGCTGCCAGATGCAAGTGCAGGAGAAAAGACACAGTAGAGTAGATGGGAAGGGGTAGGATAACACTGGGCAAGAAACCTGGTGAATCTGAGACTGGATGGAGGCGCAAAGTCAGCCGAAAGTTGGAGGGTATTGATCAGAAATAGAAACAAGGGTTGTCTAGCACAGAGATCATTAGGAGATGGGAGAGAAGCAACTGAGCCTGGGAGATAACAGGGAGAACGGCAAGAGGATTCCCAGCTGCCTGAGGAAATGGGAGCCCTGGATCCAGTAAGGAAGGCGCCTACTGGAATAAGATAGGTCTGTTTCTATAGGAAAACAGCAAATAGTATTTGACTATCCAGGAACCCATGCCCAGTGACAGGGGAAGAGAATGAAAACCCTTGAGGAGGACAGTAAAACACTTCAGCCTGATATAAGGAGACAGAGTATTAAGAAGGTGTAAAGATGGAGCAGCCAGGAAGGTGATCATAAGCTCTTAAGGCAATTGAATGCGATTTATGCTAAAATAATAGTTAAATACTCTCAGTACTTTTCCAAAGACTATCACAAAACAAAATCTGTCTAGTCTGGAACATCACTGAAACGCCAGTGAATTAGGCAAATGGTGCACACAAGTTTCAGACTGTGTAGTCAGACACATTCACTAATACATTTCTTTTTGTACTTTATAACTGCTTCTAAAACCAACCTATCATGTACATGCGTATTTGTACAGGCATCTGTCCAAGTCATTGTGTTATTGCAATGGAACATGAATATCAGGATTCCTGCAATTTCAAAAATATTTAGAAATAATTACTTTTTTTTCAGCCTCTGGGTTTAATTTACTGAAAACTTACCTGAATACATAAATTTTATATTTAATTCCCAAGCCATCGTTTGATATAGACCTTGTAGTGCAGATGAAATGGCATTGACAGTGGCACAATGAAAGCACCAACCCTGAGAGCAGCCAGTCTGGGCTCGGCTCTAGGGCCAGGAATGGGCAGCTGGAAGATCAGGGAGAATCCTGTCTCCCGTGCTCCTACATGTTCACTGCTTCATTGTTGGGTGAAATGGAACACGGTCAGGAGGGGTCTTGTTCATAAAGAGGGATCACTCGGGCAGGAACTCCATTAGAAGGATTTAAATATCAGGATGGAGACAATGAATTAAGTTTTAACTAATGTGAGCAGGGGGGGACGGGCGTTGTGTTGGCTGCTGTGTGCAGGGCTGCCGTGTTTTGTGTCAGCTGGAACATTTACTGCAGGGCACGAGCTTAATTTCTAAACACTGGTGTATTGAGTGTCTCCCTGATCTCTTGCCTGTGCATTGGAAATAGACTGTAAAATGACTAGACATCCTGCAGAAGTGAAAGGAAGACTGATGACTTGTTTCCATTGTGCAAGTTTAGTGGAGTGTGAAATGAAACCAAGTGGTAGATATAGTAACGAGCAAATCTGTTCCTGATAAATAACACAGAGGGAGATTAGCAACTGGTGTGGGATTCAAAGGCTAGTACAGTTCATATAATTTAACATGATGCAAACTATATTCTTTTGCACCAGAAATGTTGATACCAGAACATGGGTTATTATCTTTTTCCCTACCTGGTTGCTTTGTCCTGCTGATATCGCCACTCCCTGACATGTAATTGCATTCCACAAGCATTTTCTGGTATTATGTCTTTTTATCATGATTGTAGCCTATGCACTTTTTATTCAGAGGTTTACTTCTTGTTTGCAGTTTAAATAAAAAAAAAATGGAGAAGGAGGGCCCTTTTTACTCTTGAGCTATGGAAAAATAATGTATAGGGCTAATCTTGCTCCCAGTTAAGTCAATGGCAAACTGTCTGGAAGAGTAGCTAGTACACAGAGGAAGTTGCATGAAGACGAGGACCGTAAGCTTAGTCTGTTTTATTTCTATTGCCACAGAATATAACAAGGCAGACGGTGTTTCTGAGCTCCATGTCCATGAAGACTGATCCTGGCTACAACCTGGCGGGTGGGAGGAATCTGCCAGCCCGTGCGGGAGGAGCCCCGGGAGGCTCCGGCGGATGAACCCGGGGCTGAGCGGGCGCCAGCACCTTCCGTTCACGGAAGGGATGGAGGATTCGCACAGCCTCAGCTGTCTGAATGTGCTGATGATCCGGGAAAGACAGCTTTGTGATTCTTCAAAAGAGCGTGCACCTACATTAGCAGAGTAATGCTGTCCTCTTGCCTAGCCTGCTCACAGAAGCTCCATTTTGGCAGTATTCCCCCTACCAGGCCAGTTTTTGGGCAGTTTCCAAAGCCTGTCTTCCCTTCAAAGCCCTGAAAAGGAACAAAATAAATCTGTGTTCCTCTCCCTTGTTTAAGGAATCCTCCAGCTTTCCTTTGGAAAAAAAATGTACTGGTTGTGATCAGATGTTGTCTGATTCCTTTTAAATTCCATTAAAAGCAAATATATTTGGTGCTTGTAATATTCAATCTCAAACAAATATCCATAGGATCTCGTTTATTAGGAGTAATTTCCTTGTTGGTTTTTGTGGTCTTAAACATGGCAGCATTTTTGTGAGTGTGGGGCTTCTGTAATATAAGATCAAACTGTCAGGATCGGCTCTTCCTTTGACGGCAGAAGTGTGAATGATTGCTAATAGGATGCATAAAAAATGCCTTAGCCTTTTCGCTAGTGGAGAGGAATGATTTTGAATTTGATATTGTTATGGGAGTCATTGATGGGTGTCAAAGCTGATCCTGTTTTTCTAAGGCGTTTTCTGCACTTACTGCTGGATTTGATCATAATGACTGTAATGTCACTGCGTCGCATTAGATTCTTACAGTGTGATATCCTTAGCTTGATGTCAGGAGTTTCACCAACATATTGACATGTACTGAGGACAGATACACAATAGCTATGCGATTCCTTTTTTAAACTGCAGTTTAGCAAGGAATATGAATTCATGCCTAGTTTCAGATGTATGGGTTGTTCTTTGTTCTTTATTAATCCATATTCTTGATATCCAATACACGCTTCACTCCCTGCTGAATCCTTTAGTTGTCGCTGGTTGGATATTATTTCTGTGTGCAGATTTTTCTCAATCCTGAGATCTGAGAAAGTCAAGAGAAATAAAATCAAAAGAAGTGTGTGGTCAGAAGTAAAATGTTCGGCAATGAATAACCTAATGTTTCTGATCTCTGGGGCTGGCGAGTGCAGGTTATGAAATGAAGACAAAAGAGATAATATCTAAAGCATGCAGTAATTATTAATTTATTATTTTTTAAAAAAATTATTTACTATTTTAGATGTCTGTTTAAGAACATATTTTTCTCTGACCAGATTTTTCCGCAGGCCATATTGTGTCAGAACGTTTCTAGGAGGTGCAGGAAGGATTTGGCACCGTATTCCAAGGAAGCGGGTAGGGTTAATGGTGGCAGGGGAGGGCCCAGATTCGCTTGGCACAGGTGGAGGGGCCCTCTGGAAATGGCGCCAGCAGCCGCAGGAGTTCCAGCCGTTGAGGCTTCCAGTTCCAGCTGCTGGAGCTTCCCTGTCCCCGGAGCCCCGCGTCGCGGCCTGGTTGCTGGGGCTGCGCAGCAGGGTTTGCTGCGGTCCGGACACCGTACGGGGAGCTCCGAGCAGCCCGCGGGTCGCCGCGGAGGTGCTGTGGGCACATGGGGAGCGTCGCGGTGCTGGGGTGCAGCAGGGAGGACGGCTCCGCTGCAGCGGCCCCAGCGCCGCTGCCTGCGCCCCGCGGCCAGAGCTGCGCCTCGCTCGGAGCCCTCCGCGTCCCGGAGGAGGTGCTGGCAGGAAACCAAGCCATTGAGTGCTGCTGCTCCAGGAAACTGCTGAGTCAAGACACAGCAATCACGTGAAACGCCAAAAAAAGAAACCTTTGTTGTGAGGTGAGAGATGAGGCTGCGCAGAGACAGCTGCAGAACTTCCTGCAAAGCCCCTGAAGCGTCGCGGACCGGCACAGCTGGACAAACGCGCCACGCG